GACCGGGCTGCCCAGAGCTGAAGGCCTGCGACTGTGGCGAATGCACTTTGCCGGAAGATCAAAGTTCAACAATCAGCCTGCGATTCACTGAGATGGAATACCTCAATCAATAGAGCGAGTCAAAAGTCAGCTGATCTAGGATAAAATCATGGATCTGGACTGCTGGCTGGTTGCATGTGAACGAACGCTCCGCTTTCCACCCCACCGCCAGCAGCCGGGCGGTCATGTGACCACGGCATCCACTGGTGGATATACCATATTTAGATTGCCACGCGTGAATGCTGCTAAGCCACAGAGACCTAGACGGCATCTGCGTACACGCATGCTCGCTGGTGAGTTCTGCCGGTATATCGGCACACCCACATACACCACAGTTTGTATGGGAATACATCTTACCACATCATAGCATTCTGACAGTCTTGGTTGACTGAAAACATTCCCTAAATAAGCCGGCTACTACAACAGGATGTCAGGAAAGCTTTTACTACAAATGGAAGTACATGCTTTCTGACAAAATCTGCATACTGATACTCGAAGGATTCTGTATAACAGAATTTTTAAAGGCCACACCGCAGGCATTTGACATTTGAAAAAACATACCGAGTTTGAGTACATTTGAAAATTTCTCTCAGAAATTACTAGTAAATTTCACAAAAAATTACAAAGAAAATAGTTTTTTTTTTTTTACAAAAACAAATAGTTTTTTCTTGTAAAATGTACTCCAATAAACTGATTTTTTTTTACAATGTTTATTGCAGTTAGTTTAGTATTATTTATATACTATTGTAGTGTTTGTTAATATTTTGAATTAGCTTTTATTTTACTTTTTTTAAGATTTTCGTTCAAATGTAAAATTCTAGATGACGTAGATTTTAGTAATTTTGTATGTGGTTTTGTTATTTTTATTATTAATTTGCTTTATTTTTAATTTCAGTTTTAGATAGGAATGCACCGAAATGAAAATTCTGGGCCAAAAAAATTCTGGATGCACTTGGCCGAAAACCGAAACTGCTTTGTAATTATTATTTATTATTTTATTAAATAAAGTAACTTTGTAAGACTTTTTAATTTAACTCAATAATTTTAATGATACTTAATTTAAAAAACACAAGCCAATAAAATAACCACACTTTTACTGAAAGTAACACAATAAAACTGGACATAATTTATATTAATATTGGTAACACTTTACAATAAGGTTAATTAGTTAACATTAGTTAACTACTTCAGTTAACATGAACTGAGAATGAACAATAGTTCTTAAGCATTTATTAATCTTAATGTTAATTTCAACATTTACTAATGCATTATTAAAATCAACAGTTGTGCTTGTTAACAGTTAATGCACTCTGAATTAACATGAACTAACATTGAACAACTGTATTCTCATTAACTAACATTAAGAAAGATTAATAAATACTGTAATAAATGTATTGTTCATTGTTCATTCATGTTAGTTAATACATTAACTAACGTTAACTAATGAAACCTTGTTGTAAAGTGTTACCTTAATATTGAATATCAATATATTATTTTTATTCACTTCTATGTAACAGAATCAGACACAAGTTGTTGTTGTTTTTGACTAATTAATTATCCAAATAATGTATAGTCCTACAAAGCTATTATTATCAGAGCATGTGAGCAGCAGAGCATAGCGTCACGAGAGGGTAGCGTCATTTTACCAGTGTTGTCCAGTACAGCTGTACTACAGCATATTACAGCTCAGTAGCGCTACTGCAAACAGGAACAAGTATACTACATAAAAATTCCCTGTCAGCGCGTTATTTGAGCGGACTTTGCTTTTTTGGTGAGGATGAGCGGTACAAAAGCACATTCATAAAGCGGAATATTGAGCGCTGCATCAAACCACGCAGTGACGAGGATAGTGAAACCTGCGCGCTGAACATTGCCGGGCGGTGCGCGCCATATATATTATATGCATATTTTCGGCTCATATTTTCGGCCGTTTTTCTCTTTCGGCCGAAAACCAAAAATGCCATTTTCGGCCGATAATTTTTGGTGGTCGAAAATTCGGTGCATCTCTAGTTTTAGATCTACAACTTCTTTTATGTCAGTTAGTTGCCAAGAAAAAATTCTAATTTATTTACATTTTTAAGTCAAAGTTTAAGTATTTCAGCTTTATTTCAATTTTTTTTTTAAATTAATAAACTGAAAAAAAAAATGAATAAAGAAAACAAAAATTGATGTAGAAACAATTTTCACTCAGAAAAGGATAGTAAATTTATCCAAAATCTAACTGAAATCATACAGATTCTGAATTTTTTAAGGCCATACCACAGGCTTTTGACCTATTTATTGGTAAACAGCTAAATAAATAAATAACTGGGTTTGAGAAAATGTAAAAACAATTTCACTCAGAAATTGCTAGTAAATTTTTTTTTTAATATTTGGAAATGGCAACAGTCCAATTTTTATTTTATTTTTGAATTGTAAAGGTTTAGTTTATTTTAGTAATTTTGAATGTGCTTTTGTTCTTTTTATTAGTATTGTTTTATTTTTATTTCAGTTTTTGAACTTTAATTTTTTTAATTCATTTTTTTTAAAGTCTAAGTTTAAACGTTTTAGATTTATTTCAGTTCAAATTATTTTTAAAAGGCTATTTTAGTTTTAAAAATAACAAGTTTGCTTGCATATACATAAAACTATAAAACAATACTCTGCATTGTTCACAAGTCAAACTAATTAAAGCAATGGCCATATTACTCTTATGTTGGGCTGTGGGAGCATTTGCTCACCACACAAGCCCTACTGTGGAATGTGTCAGCATGATGTAAGAGGTGGGTAACAAAGCTAGCATGAACTGAACTACTGGTCCAACAGGCTGAGTTGCACTACTGCAGCTCTTAGCAGCACTGATGCAAATCTGAGGTGAACACCAGCTGTCAGTGCATAGGCTCCAAGTTTGTGCATTCAAGCAGATAATTTCTTATAAACCACCAATGGAGAAAACCAATAGGGTTTGGGAGCTGAGAACCTGTTCTTATACGGAAACAGGTTCAAACAGAACTGTCATGACATTCGATTCAGTTAACAGAACATATTGATACTAAATACTAAAATACTCCTGTAGGGTTTAATTTACTACTTTAATTTACTAGTTGCACCGCAACACTGCAAACATACAGCAACCACTGCAGTCCGATTCCCAAACGAATCACCAGTATAGTATATTTTTATTTAATGCCATGTCTGCATCTTAGGCTATTTTCATGGCAAAAACAATAAAAAAAAATACAAGTATAACAAATACAATAAAAACCAGCAAACAAACAAACACAAGTTATATTACACAAGATTTTTTACATTAACATATCTTATGGACCAGTTCTTTATAGTGAATCAAAAACACTTCAGTTTGAATCAGTAAGCTGACTCTTACTGAATCACAAGTGTTTTGTCACGTGTGACTCGAAATGAACCAAGGATTCTATTAAAAAGCACTTTTTAACACACATTTTAATAGCATATTAAATTTTGTGTTTGTTTGTAATTTATTTCTGGTTTGTTGTAACTGTTCTGGTCAAATTTAAGGGCTGTAAAAGTGAATAGTATTTCTTATTTCCAAATATTTTAATATTATTTGACATTAGTTGATGCATTAACTAACATTAAAAAACAATTAGCAATAATTTGTATTTATTCATCTTTGTTAACGTTAGTTAACACGAATACAGCTGTCTGTCCATTGTTAGATCATGTACATTTTTTTTTTTTTTTTTAAGTAATTTCCTTTGTTAGTTCATATTAACCAAAGCAGTTAACAAATGGAACTTGCATTGTAAAATGTTATAAAAATAAATCGTCAATGGCATCGTTAATGAACTGGAATCCTTAGAGGGAAAAAAAATATAACCTATTCTCACAATTCACACTCGCAATATTGCCAAGTTTTAATGATAATTAAATAAGAGAGATGAAAGAAAGAGAGAGAGAGATAAAAAACAACAATAGAATGTAGACAAACAAATAAAAAAAACACGTATTCAAGACCAAATGTATCTATATGAGGTGTTACGACTTAAATGCTAAGGTGCATCTAAACATGACCTAGACCCAATGAACTACCCGGCGGCGTGACGTCATACACCGTTAGACCTCGTCACGGCGGATACGAACTCTGTCGACCAAACTAAAGACCTCCCGGTGAGCTGGACGACAAAAGCAGCCTTTGCTCCACATATAAGCGCTTGTGAAAAATAGTGGAGTTCAGGCAAATCACGAGGTAAATGCTAATTAGCAGCATTCCCAGCTACTGGCGCCCCAACTTTTCCTTTCTTCAATCAGTCGAGCTCCAGAAAACCGAACCGTGGCGTGCAATAGTTCGAGCAGAGAGCTTACTCCCTAATCTCAGTCCGCACAGAAACGAAACGCGGAGACTGTCAAATAACAACGCGCGTTTACTTTCAATAGAACGCGCCCGCGAACGCTACATTGTTGCTTTTAGCGGCTCGCTTCAGAACGGTTACAGTCTGACTGGCTCCAATGTAACACAAGTATTCCAGTGGAACTCCATTCACACGTTACGATGTAACAGCTCTGCCAGATAAAGTTAAAATACCACTGAATATCGTTGGACTTGCCTTCCTCGCCTGGTCAAATGGAGGCTCGCAGGCTAAAGCTAGCCAGACAAATAAGAGGGGGGAGCTGGCTAAACTTAATCGCTCAAATGCGAGCAGCGCGGGCGAATCAAGTAAATCAGCGACACAATTGAAATGTTAAAACAATAACAGCCGTGCATCCGCTTCAAGGTCGCTCAAAGCAATTTGTTTACACAACAACAACAGGCAAAACACAACTCTCTAACTTTGCAAAGTAGCCAAGCTGAAATAGCGAGTGTAGCTGGTTTAGCAAGCTAATGCAGGATACCGCCGCCGCGGAACTGTGATTGGATCCTGCAGCGAGCGTGTAAAAATCGCGTTACAAAGCCACCCCATTCACCGGCAAACAATCAACATTTGCAACCATGTCGGACTTACAGTGTTTTGTTTCCTTTTAAATCCTGCACGTTATGTCCAGCTCTGACCTTCGGGTTGGTGAAACAGCATTATAGTTAACTGCCGCCGCCATGTTTCTGGTGCCTTACGCCTAACGATGGCTGGCTTCTTGTTTATCTCGCCAGCAAAACCTCCCCCACATACTATGGGCACCAGTATCTACTCGTTTACTCTAGCCTGCATAGCAACCTTGCAGTGAGCAACGGGGCAAAATGATGATACAGCAAACGTAATTGGACACGGCTCACCCGTTGGATTGGATTTTCTGTCTTTGTGTTTTTTAAACTGCGAGGAGATGTTTCATAATATTACGGGAGGGAATCAAAACAAGTGTTGAAAGGCCAGTTTACAAAAGCTTTCGCCTTTAAAGTGGTGCTGTGGGAGGAAAAAGTGTGCCAGAGTGGTCGACCCGGTGTTGTTGTTATTCCAAACCCAAAGCAATCTGCACTCTATTATCAATGTCATAACAGCTTAATTAAAAATCACATTAGATGACCCACATGAAACTGCTTTCCAGACCTCCATACATCACATCCTGCGTGTTATGATTTATTACTTCAGGACTCTTAATATACATTTAATCTACATTTGTCAGCAAATAAAAACTTTTTTAACAAAAAGTACAAACTTAACATCAGAACCTTTTTGACCAAGTTAAGGCCTTGACAATATAACAGACAATTCAAGAGCGCTTGGGTCTGAGAATAGCAAATAGTCAATTTAAATCCAGTTTTATCCATCATTAGTACTTCTTTCACCTTCTAGACATCTCATCGCCTCAAGTCTTCCATATACTGAAAAACAATCAAGATGTTGATTTTGTCACATAACTGAAGGAAATGTTATTATATATAGCTTAATAATAAAATATAAAAGCAATTTAAATTATTTTTGCATTTATCAGACACATTTCCTCGATTATGAGTCCACCTCTAGCCGTCGTTTAAAGGTAATGCACATCTGTGAAAAACAATGAGAGGAAGCCCCTATAAGGGTTTTTCAATAGTCTAGTACTCCACCGGCAATTAAAATTATTTTTGCATTTATCAGACACATTTCCTCGATTATGAGTCCACCTCTAGCCGTCGTTTAAAGGTAATGCACATCTGTGAAAAACAATGAGGAAGCCCCTATAAGGGTTTTTCAATAGTCTAGTACTCCACCATGTATCATAACTGCATCGAGTTATCAAATACACAAACATGTCTTACTTTTCTCCCAGAATACAAGCCTCAAATGGCCACGAGCTCAGTGACTGTTTGAGCGGGCAGAAAGCCAAAGCTTACCGTGATTACTCAGCACAGCAATAAACCCCAAATGTGTCAGGTATCCGATCAAAATCCACACGGCGACAGGTTGATTTCCTATATAAAAATACTTCCATGTGAACGCCAGCCAGCGAGCGAGATGAAGTAACGTTACGGGCGAAACGAAACGAATCCTACAGTTGCAACCCGTGTCGATCAAAGGTCTACAGCGAATGTAAATTCTCTCAAAAGGAAATCTGCAAACAGTGACTTGTGCAATATTCGCTGTTCACACTCTTTCAGATTGGCACGCGCTTGACAACAATTGTGAAACAGCACGGGGTTGTCGCAACGAAACGTCCCGAAAGAGACTGTACTGTTAGTTCAGGAAAGCATTAATAGAAATGTTATTTTGGTTTCATATTTTATACTTTTGCTAATGAAAAATACCCACAGCATACGCGCAGAGTGATTTGCGAAACCAATAAATATCACTGTGCTTACAATTAAGAAAAATCTTGGCGAACAGCGCCACTACATGTTCAACACCAACATTTTAAGGAAAATTACCTCATGAAGCAAAATGAAATAAATCAAGTTTTCAGTATGCTTTTTTACTGTATTTCATTTGAGAATTACGTATTAAGTTATTAAATAACATTTTTTATAAAACAAATTGTTGTATTATTAGGCCTAACGTTTTTCTATGCCCTAGATTCTCGAACAACTGTTGCTATGGTTACTGTTCACGAGCGTTATTATGGTTATTTGGCGCTTTCTGACCAACTCGGACTCGAAATTTACTGAAACGCTGTTTGAAAACTTGACTTTGTTTTTGAGCGGTTCAAGCCATTCATCCCCTTGTCACGAATTTATACAAAATAATAATAATAATAATAATATTGAAAATGTTTTGACCGTTATTTTCTAAAATGTGGTAAAACAAATATAGACTAATAACCAATACATTGAAATGGGGACAAATACTGTGAAAACAACATTTATATTAATGTAGTCACTGGTTGTACTTGGGTAAAATAAATGTGAGATGACAATGCTTTTTTTTATTGAACTTCATTCTCTATGTACTGTTGTTCTTAAATCAAAACAATCTATGAAAATTATTTCTGAGAACTTTTCCTTAGATCCTGACTTCAGTCTCACACTCACACTGGAATGACACTTGTGATTTGACATTTTCATGTGTTATCAACACCGAACAGCAAAGTCAGATTTGCCAAGTTCAAGAATAAAAGGTATAATCTACTGACAAATCAAAAGCACACAGCTTTTGTTCATCATCCTTTGCTAATTTAACAACATTTGTGGAGCATTACACTTTTTTGCTTACCTTGACCAATTATGCAGTACAGTGCATCAAATGGAATTCATTAAAAAAAGGCATCAAATGAACATTTTTGCTTGTGATCTTTTTTCGAATGAAAAATGTGAATGCGTTTATATAACACAAATGAAGAGACATTAGACGTGGTTCTAAATGCATAGGATAGATTCAACAAAAACTGTGAGCCTTCAGAGAACTTTAAACACAACCCTGATTTCAAACTCAAGTTAAAATACTGAATTATTCCTCTCTGATCTGTCAAAATGAAGTATGGTTAGGCACTTGTAAAAATAAGTTACATTTTCGCCACAGCTTTCATGTTTTCTTTGTAGGTATGGCTGGATCATAGATTCGGATTTGGGATTGCAGCATTAAGCAAATAAAGCAAAGAGCATATGGACCTTCAGAATAAGGAAACAAATGTAGGGGGGGGGGATAAAAAGAACCCCTCCAAAAGCCCCCAAAGCCACTTTTCCTTAAGCCCTTCTTGCAAAGAGACATAATAGTTGGATGGCTTCATGAAATACAGCATTCAGTATCAAGGAGCAGGATGAGGATGTTGCCATATTGCAAGTTTTTTTTTTTTTTCTTCAGATAAACAAGAGGGGAAAGGGAAAAGGGGCTACAGATAAACTGTTGGACAAAGAGGAGGGAGAGGAATGATCAGGCTGATTTCAGCCAGGACAGAAGTTGGGACCAAGAGCAGTTTATGATGACTTCTCCTTCCTCGCTCTTGGGGAATCTGCTCCACTGGCACCAACAGATCCGTTCACACCATTGGCTGTGAAAATACAAATGAGAAGATGCTTGACGCAAGTGATTTTGTTGTCTGGACACCTGAAGTGCTGTTACTATTTTTCAAAGGTTTGGGATAATCAATTCTTTTATGTTTTTGAAAAAAGTCTCTTATAGTCACCAAGGCTGCATTTATTCGATCAAAAATACAGTAAAAGCAATACAAAATCAGAAATAATTACAATTTAAAAGATCTTATTTCTGTTTTAATATATTTAAAAATGTTATTTATTTTTGTAGTGGCAAAGCTGAATTTTCAGCAGTCATTACTCCAGCAATGACAACAGTTCTTTTAAATAGGGGCAGTTGTGGCCTGATGGTTAGAGAGTCATAGAGACTTGTAACCTGAAGGTTGCAGGTTCGAGTCTCAAAACTGGCAGGAAATGTCGGTGGGGGAAGTGACTGAACAGCGCTCTCTGCCACACTCAATACCCACATCTGCTATGGGTGTGTGTGTGTGTTCACTACTCACTGCTCCTAATGTGTGTGCACAAACTTGGATGGGTTAAATACGGAAGACAAATTCTGAGTATGGGTTACCATTACTTGGACTTCACGTCACATTTAGGGCTGCACGATATTGGAAAAAAAAAAAAAAAAAACTCATAGCAGAAAAACAAAATATATCGCAATTGCGATATGAAAAAAAAACACACCAGATGACTTGAATAAAAATAATCAATGATTAGGGTGATTTTGTAGGCGAGTAAATCAGTATAGAAAAAAACAAATTGCAAGCATGGATAAATATAAGAGAACAAAGATACAAATGAAATAAACAGTGCTTTATATTTTTTTTAGGTAAGTCTAATAGTATTCAGGTACAGACATTGAATAATCAAATGTAAAATAGCACTACATAGTCTTCACTGTATAAATTAAATCTAATAAATCAGTTTTAAAGCTACGAAAGTGATTTTTCCTCTGTGTTTTGTTGTTTGATTAACATTCGTGACACAGAAAGCCTCAGGAACATTAAACTGCTGTGAACCCATATACTGTTACACATCCATTTTCGTTCTCAATGGTTTACCTTCATCTAAACCATAAGCACCTGTGTTTACAAGGATACTTGCAGAGACATGCATTTTGACATAATTTCACACGTATGTGTCATTTCAGGCGCAAATAGACGCGCAAGTGAATGGAATTCAGTGTTCACATGCATCTGCGTGGCTCTCACCGTGTACACCAGACGCGAGCGGCACGGCACGACTCATCAAAATATTATAGAACACAATACAATCAGTGATGCTGTATACACTAGATGTGGCGTGACAAGACAAATCCCCGACAGTTTTATTTATGACAAACTGACACAAAGTTCAAATGATTTGCAACGGTCGCTTTTCACGTCCGGTGTAGACACAGTGTCTGTGTGTTCAAAGAAAGCAATCAGTATAAATATAACGATCAGTATACTAAACATCGCACATCTCGCAATGTGACTATCGTGGATGCGCACATCGCGATATCAATGCTGAAACGATATCGCGCAGCCCTAGTCATATTGTAATAATTTTTCACAATATTACTGTTTTTACTGTATTTTTACTATATTTATGAATAGATATATGCAGCTGGATGAGCATAAGAGACTTCTTTCAAAAAGTAAAAAAATATTTCAAACATTTGCACTAACATTTGTAGTGCATCTCCAGGTAGAAAGATGCCACTAAAAGAGATAGTTCACCCAAAAATGAAAATTGTCACCATTTACTCACCTTCCACTTGCTCCTAAAATTAGTTTCTTTCTTTTGCTGACCACAGAAGATATTTAGCAGAATGCTGGTAACCTAAGAGTTGACGGTAGCCATTGACTTTCATAGTATTTTTTTTTCCCATACTATGGAAGTCAACGGCTACCATCAACTGTTACCAAAATTCTTCAAAATATCTTCCTTTGTGTTCAGTAGCTGAAAGTAATTTATACAGGCTTGGAAGAACTTGAGGGTGAGTAAATTACAATTTTCATTGTTAGGCAAATTATCTTTAAATTTAATGATTTTGCTTAATAAAAGCAATACACTTTAAAAACAACTCTATATTCACAATACAGTACAGCCTGAAGTACTTTATTGCTTAAATGTAGATTCTAGATATGCTTTGCTAAAGAGTGTTATTAAAGGGATAGTTCACCCAAAAATGAAAATTCTGTCATTAATTACTCACCGTCATATCATTCCAAACCTGTAAGACCTTCGTTCATCTTCGTAACACAAATTAATGTATTTTTGATGAAATATGAGAGCTTTCTGACCCTCCATAGACAGCAATGTGTTTAAGGTCCAGAAATGTAGTAAGGAGATCGTTAAAATAGTCCATGTGACATCAGATGAACGACAGTCTTACAGGTTTGGAACAACATGAGGGTGAGTAATTAATGATAGAATTTTCATTTTTGGGTGAACTATTCCTTTAAGTGCAATAAGCCGCAAAAAAGAACAAGGTACAGTACTTGCGCTGACTTTCCCCCAAAACATGCACATCTCTCATACAGCATACAATCCAGAACTTAGTTTTCTTTATTGGCTTTCTGCGTTTCGATGGTCAGATACACACAAAATTGTCAAAGTGCCATTTTGGTGAGTATTTATGTAAACACTTATGTCTTAAGTGAATGTAAACAGTTGGGAGAAAATCAGATGCATGTCTGTATATTGGTAAAATAAAGTGGCAGCAGCCTCTAAAATGACTCATATCGCCCACCCCTAACTGGAACATTAGAATAGCGTGTGGTATTTTAATAAAGGTGTAAACTGATCTTAAGTGGGCAATACTGACCTTTCTTTGATTTGCTCTTAGAAGAGGATGATTTCTTCTTTAAGGTCTGAGTCTGTGCGTGTTCTCTCCATCGTCGCAGCTGGAAGTTGATAAATTTCCACATCATAAAAGCCTGAGTGGTGCATATTGCAGCCAGGACAGTCACCCTGAGAGAAACAGAGTGCCATTACAAACAACTCCAAC